TTTCTTCTCTCTCTCTCTCTCTCTCTCTCTCTCTCTCTCTCTTTCTTTCCATAAAATATCCTCTATAGAGAGTGAGAGAGATTGCTGTTACATATGAGATTTCAGTGGAATGAATGAACGCTTGGTTTTGCAGGGGATTGGTAGTGGAGATGGTGCTGCAACTTGGGCTCTTCTTCTTTCTTCTGTAATATATGATCTGTGCACTATTGTTGTGTTCTTCTTGAGAATTCTTATTGAGAGTCTTCTTGTCTGTTGATTGTTGCACGTTAGTGGTGTAATTGTTTGTCGACAATAAAGCAACAGCTGCATCTGTGCCTTTATGCATTATTTTAGAGATGTAATAATGGGGATGGAACCTCCAGCTTGACTCTTTAGCATGAGAGCTTGCAGTGCTGCTTCACCTAAACAGGAGGATCTCATCAATGACCACAGCATCTGATTTGGTGAGCTATCGTTATCAACCAGCCCACACACACATCTGCCGCTTGTAATAATGGCACTGGGCCACTGCATACAGCCCTTATCTGTCGATTTGTATGCTTCACATGTGCCCATCACTGTCGTTCCTCTGTTGTCATTGAAAACGATAGGATAAAAGTATTTTTAAATAAATTAAAAAAAATTACTTTTAATAAATATTTTTTTTTAAAGATATATCTTTTTACCATTATGAATTTATATAAATAGGTCTTTTTTATTTCATGAAAAATTGAATTGAATTTTTTATTTATTTGACATAAATTTAATTTTTCTGTCAATCAAGTTATTTTGAATAGAAGAAATACAACATTCACTCAACAGTCTTAAGATGATTTTTTTTTTCTTTTATTTCAGAACTCATTTGTTGAGTGGCAATGGCAAGTAATCTCATAATACTTCAATCATCTCATTTATTAAGTTAAATAGCAAGTTGAGATCATCGACTAAGTTAAAAGGGCTTTTGATAAGCACAGTCAAGGTTGGGGCCAACGGCGACATCGAACAATTGGGCGTATCTCTTGTAGAACCCAATTCGATCGGCGACTCGACTATCGCCTGGCACCCCACACTCGAGCCCCCCGTTGATGATGTTGGTAACGAGCCCAAATCCGATGGTGCGATTGGCTTGGACGTCGGCCGCCGTCGGCCTATACCGGCCGACCATGACGTCATGGCACGATGGCTTGGGTTTCTGCTCCGTCATCCAAAACCAAATGGCCGTCTTGAACGCTATCTCCGAATTGTTGGCCACTGTTTCCGGATTCTTCAGCCCATCAAAGCCCAGAGCCTTCCCTGCCGGCCCATAATTATAATTCCTGCCGAATATAATTAAAATAAATAGCAATCCTCTTTAAACATTACCATACAGAAGAGGTTAATCTAGTTTTACCAAGAGAGCTGGATGGGACCTCTGCCATGGTAGGACTTGCCAGGGTAGCATGGCCACTTCTTGTTGGTGGAGTCACAGTAGTTGCTCTGTGGGTTTATCTCCTCCTTGAAGCACAACCCCCATGCATAAGGTCCGTCCGGCGCTGTAGCCCATCCTCCTGCATCATTCACACATCTCGCAGGCTGCAATCGACAAGCATATTTACATGCATGCTAAGGTTTGAACGTACCGGTGGTCTCATGGGAGATCTGAGCAAGGAAAGCAGCAACCTCTCTCTTGCGGGTGTCCAAGTCGCCGGTCCTTCCGAACCTGGGGAAACTGCTTGCAGCGCGGACGAAGGAGGCGTAGGTGTAGAATCCGTTGGCCGGGCATGCACTGTCGTCCTTGTGTAGGAAGATGGAGTGGTAGAGCTCCTCGGAGACGATCGACGAGACGCCGTGGCCGTAAGGGCCGCAGCCGGCCTCCGCGGACTGAGCAGTACAAGAGAGCAAGGAAGACGCGAGTAGGTAGAAGAAGGAAGGCAGCGCGAGAGGCCACGAGTTGCGGGAACGAAGAGAAGCCATGGTTTGGGAGGACGAGTGACTGCCATGATCTCGTGGGTGTGTATATATAGCGACCTCGAACGTGCCATCGTTTGACCGAGCCTGCAACGGCGGCGATATTTGCGTTGGGGGGTTGTGGTCAACCGCTGACTAGCTGATGAACAATGTTAATTACCTCCACTACGGATCAAAATAATATTAAGGTGGTGTGTGTGGATGGATGCAAAAGACAGAGGAGGAGGAGGAAGAGGAGGTATAGTATATACTGAGATCAGACCTTGCCAACTATGGAGAATCTACAGTTGGCATGCATTCTTACACGAAACATAAATTAATTATATTTTTCTTAAAAAAATCAAAGATGCATGTTACTAGTATCTGCAAAATAAAATTAAAGCCAGCATAATTATCAGATAAAAAAAGGAGGCTGATTTAGGACTCTATTTATAAAGCACTAATATCTTTCATATTTTTGTTTTCTTTCTTTTCTTGAGCCATCTGGAAGAAGACTTTGTAGTCAACATCGTGGATCGCCGGCTGATGCGGCCGGCACTGTCGATGGGGAAGTGTTACTACGACATGCATCATGGGAAATGGTGGCTGGGCTGGGGTGGGTGCTCTCTGTCACGAGGAAGACGTTGACCGTGGACTTCACGAATAGAAAAGCTTCCGCCCTTGGGATTCTCTACGATGCTGCAGGTGTACTGGATTCGCGTCACGAGATCCGCACCATCTATTTGGTCATCACACGCATCTCAAATGATCTCAATGGCTCTCCTCCTCCGTTACACCGTATTGTACAGGAGAGGATCCGATCTCGGGAGTGGTGGAAGTGTCAACACAAAGCATCGGCGTCCGTGTCATGAAAGTCAACTGGGCGCTCAGTGGGGAAGCAAAGTAACACTTTGTGTGTCTTTGTCAGTTTATGCTAAGAGGTTTATAGTGCATTCATATATAGAATTAATCACAAAACATGTCCCAATATTAAAAATATTATTTCAATGTATAAATAGGCTGTGTTTAGAAATATATTTGAGTGAATCTAAGTGAAATGCTTCATAAACAATAGATGAAAACTATATTTTAAATATATATATTGATGAAAGTGCTACTTAGTAAAATTATATTTCAGAAGTCTTTTAAATATTTTATGATAAATTTATCTTTTTAATATTTTTAATATTTACTCAAAAGTAAATATATACTTTTATTTAAATTGATAAGTAAATTAAATAAATAAATAAGGTAATCTTATAAAAAAATTATATGGGCCAGATATATAATAAAAAAATAAATACAGTCATATAATAAATATAAAAATTATTAAAAATAAAAAAAAAAAAATTTTACCTTATAAAAAATGTAAATCATATTGATTTCTCACTAAATCATTTTGGCGATCTTCTAATTTTAAATACAATCATAGGGTATTTTTAGAATTTAAAAAATATATTAACATTTGATGAATGCTAAAATGCTAATATTATCAGAGATTTGAGTATTTTTAATGTAGCATCCAAGCCAAATATGATTTGAAAAAAAAATATTAAACATCAATTCACATTTGTAGTATGATTCAGGCCGTACATTTCAAATTATATTTTTAATATTGACGTAAATATTACTTGGTAAAATTATATTTTAAATGTCCACTAAATATTTTGTGATAAATTTACCCTTATAATATTTTAAATATTTATTCAAAAATAAAATATATTAATTAATTAATTAGTAAATAAATAAAATGAACGTATGTAATATTATAAAAAGCTTTATAAGTCCAGATATATAATAAATAGAAATATAATCATATAAATAAAATATAAATTTATTTTAAAAAATAAAAATAAAATAAAAAATAATACCTTATAAAAAATATCAATCACGTTAATTTTTCACTAAATCATTTTGATAATTTTAGATAAATTTATAAAATAATTTTAATATTTTAAAAATATATTAGCATCTCACAAATGCTAAAATGCTAATGCTATCATAAGGTAGCATCGAACACTAATTCATATTTGAATTGTACACCGGACCTTAATGCATATTTCAAATGTGTTTCAAAACATACTCTTAATTAAATTCTATAAGGGTCTTAATTAAATTCAAACATTTTAGTGAATTAAGATTAGAATTTAGATTATGTATTAAGTAGAAAGGGTAGTCTAGATAATTAGCACTTGTTCATATAATTAATTACATATTAGGTCTTGATATTTTGATAGTAAAAAATTTAATTTTCTCGATTGATATAAATAAAAAATTATCGAACAAAAATAAATCTTATGTGGAGTTTTGAGTATATTATTTTATTGTTGATCTTTTATCTCCTCAACCAAATCTACTAAGGGTAAAGGGTCACTATAATAAGAAAGAAATAAAAGTGCTCTTATATTTGTTATACTTTGATTCAATCAACGAATCTGCTTCAGTCTATCATCCTCTTTCGATGAATTATCTAAAACATATTTTTATGATATTATTAATAAATTTATATTTTTTAACGTAATAAATAAGAAATTGTATATTTAGAAAATTTGTAATATAGCCTAATAATTATTATTTTCTTAGGAAGAATTCCCTCACCATTATTTCTCAGTGTCAGCGGAAGCCACAGCAGCTCCTGTGGGCTTCTTTTGGGCTGATATCTGCCGGCTTTGGAGGTCGCCGCAAGCGGTGCCACTCGCCCAGGTGAGGAGGCTGCAGCCGGAGGAGAGGGAGGAAAGGAAGGAAGGAAGCGATGACGCTGGGCACTGCGACGAAGCACGACTACGGCGAGCCCTCCTACTGGGACCAGAGGTACCGGCAATACCCGGAGCAGTTCGATTGGTACCAGAAGTACCAAAGCCTGGCCCCGCTCTTCGACCTCTACCTCCGTCGCTCCCACCGCCTCCTCCTCGTCGGCTGCGGCAACTCGGGTCTTCTCTCCCTCCGTCCCCGTTTTCTTTTTCCGCTTCCCCCTGACCGATTCGAGTTGATTCGCCTCCGAAACAGCTTGTTCTCTTGATGGATGTTTCGTTATCCTTTTCCGGATCAACTCCAATCTTGAATGCCTGTGTCTTGTCTTTTGAGGAAAGGAAGAATGCCTTGTGTTCTTTTTCGAATCTTGGCATGAATTGGGTATGGGTGTGAGGGAGAGTCGCTCCTTTATGATACATTGAACAGCCTAGATAAAGTGCTATTATACCTTCTATTCTTGATGTTTGCCCCATTGATAGCCACCAGAAGGTCACTGATGTGGATGTGTAGTATCACTTTGGGAAGCTTAAGTGCCTTGGAGCTGATGAATAATCCATATTTATGTCATTTATATGGATAATAGAACGCTGATGCCGAGTGCAAGCTCTTCATTTTTCATATTAGGTAAATTCTTGAAATATCTAATACGACGTGTGGATATTGCATAATAAATCAATAGGAAGATAGCTTAATTTTAGATTGTGAGTGGAGTTTAGCCACCAAAGCAAGCTTTGCAGCCTTCGGTTGCGACCACTTTAGAAAACTGGTTGTTGCTGCATTCTCTTTCATTGATTAACCGTCGTAGATGCGTCAGATACTTTCGATGATTTTGTAGTGGTACATACCATGGTTTATATGTATTTATAGTTTACATTTTCATTTATGATTAGCTGGTTGTCTTGGCTAATATTCAAAGTTCAACAGCGCTAGGTGAGAGCATGGTCGATGACGGTTACCAGGATGTTGTCAACATAGATGTATCATCCATCGTGATAGAAGCTATGCAAAAGAAGCATATGGATAAACCAGGGCTCAAGTGTATCCCTGAACTAATACAAGTTTTATTATGTGCTTATCTGCCTCCATGGATTTCTCCCTTTAATTTCTGGACTGGCGATGTTATTCTTAGCATTATTTGTAATTCTTTTAGATGTCATTATGTAGGCAAAATCTTGTACTTTTTATGTTTGTTTCTTGACCATATTCACAGATATCAAGATGGATGTACGAGATATGGATCCTTTCCAATCTAGTTCGTTTGATGCTGTTATTGATAAAGGTACTCATTCGATGCTCAGTTTTGTGGTCGAGTTTTCCTTTGACAGATTATTCTAGTACAAATCTTTTGGTTCTTAAATTTATTTATTAGTTTGATTCCAGTATTGATCACATTTTTTTGTGAAATTAAGTGGCAGGTTAACTTTAAGTTAATTTGTGCTTGCAGGAACTCTTGACTCTCTTATGGTGAGTCTCTCATAACTCAGGTTCTTCTCATTTAATATGCTGATACCAAAAGGTGTTTGTTGTCTTGTAGTGTGGACATAATGCATTACTAAATGCAACCAAGATGCTGCAGGAGGTTGGCAGGCAAGAGTATTCCTTAATTATATGAAAGAAAATTAACATTTTTTAAAACTATTAACTGTCTATGTATCTCAATCTCTGCCAGGGTCCTCAAGGATAAAGGAGTATATATCCTGGTATTTACTTCCTGGATTTTTAAGCTTGGAGCTTTACAGTGATTATTTGCGTTGCATTTAGGGAAAGAAAGTATGTCTTTTATTGTTTTATCTAACTCTTATTTGGTTGATGCAGATCACTTATGGAGATCCAAGTTATCGATTGAGTTTGTTAAGGGACATAGAATTATGGACTATAAACATGCATGTAATAGGTAAGTTAGCGTTAGTTTTAATTTGTTTCTGCTATGATTTCTTTTAACATGGTTGTCCTTTTATACTTTAGAACTACTATATTTGCTTTAGTACTTTCCTATGATGCAAACCTATATAAGAAAGAAAGAGCAAAAGGAGAAAAGAGAAGCAACAAAGGGAAGTCGGTCTAGAATGTCATCGTCCTATTTCTGATAATCCGCTTTATTTATGAGCCAACAAGGCCTGTAAAGTGAGCAGCACATCCAGTCTACTGAACACATCTTGACACCTATTGTTGAGTGTTATGGGATAGGAGAATATTGCCTGATGGTTGAAAATGTGAATGAAAATTATTGTTCTTGATGAAAAATGGTAGAAGGTGACCAGGAAAAGAAATCACTTAAAGTGAATGCCAGTTGAATGTCTCTATGAGTGTTAACACAGTAATCTTGATGGTGTATCTCCTTGTCAATCTTGATATTTATGGATAAGACTAATGGTGAAATATAAAGGAGACAACCAATGGATGGATTTCTTTTTGTAATGGTAGAAAACAAAATTGTAATCTAAAGTATATTGAAAGATGGAGTTTTTTTGGCTATGGAAGAAAGAGAAATCATGGCCTAAATGAACCCAGAAAAGAAACTGAGTCAAATGTATTTTTTTTAAATGTTCCAATGCTTTTATGGTAATATATATATATATATATATATATATATATGTGTGTGTGTGTGTGTGTGTGTGTGTGTGTGTGTGTGTGTACATACACACACATATATATTGCAAAGGGAAAGTGGTGAAGGCGATATTCGAGCTTACGACCTTGTGATGATCATCTATCAAACTCTACCAGTTAGGCTAGCCAACACCTTTGAAAATATGTTGGATGATATTCCTAACTCTCAACCTTTGATAAGTGGATCTAATACACACAATCATACCAATGTTTTATGTGTATAGCAACAAAATGTTGACATGGCAAAGCATATTATTTTTTGTCAATTTCCTGTGAAATATAGAATCTTATCTAGAAAGCAACCAAATTATATAATATGATGTTATACCATGTTAGCTTGAAGGTCCATAAGCTAACCTGAGAGTATCCGTGTGGGAGCTATTGGACTCCTCAAAATTTTAATACAATGATTAGTCTAATCAAAGTAGTTTTGCCCTGGTCTTCACATTTTCCATGCAATTTATTTCACTTCTAAGTTATGCTACATATGATATTTGCGTTTTAGAGTATAGAGGATAGGGAAAAAAAGCAAAAAAAATATGACCACCCTTTCTGTGTTGTTGTAGAAACTTCGACATGCAGTGATGCTATGATCAGTGATTTAAAAAGGCGCTTGCCTAGGTACTCGGGCGAGGCGAGGCCCGAGCGCCTCGCTTCATTTCTAGGCGACGCGCTTCAAAGAGGCGCCGCCTAGGCGCTCGCTCGAGCCCAGGCGCCGGGCGCTTCGGGCGAGCTCCTGGGTTAAACCAAGCGACCGAACCAGCAGTTTAGGTTTGGTTCGGTCTCAGATGCTTTAGTTGGTTCAATCGAACCAACTAAAGCATCAATATCAGCGCGACTTCCCCAACCCTAATCCTGCTCGCTGTTCACGCTGCTCGCTGCCGCTGTCGCTGCTCCCGCTGCTCGCTGCTGCCACTGCCGCTGCAACTGTCGCTGCTCGCCGCTCTCGCTGCCGTTGCTCGCTTTTACCGTTGCTGCTGCTCACTGCTGTCGCTGCCTCTGTCGCCGCTCCCGCTACCGTTGCCACTGTTGTCGCTAGCCGTTGCCGCTCCCGCTTTTCTCAGCACCCTTAGTCTTCCCTTACACTCTTTTCTTCTCTTTCGCTTCTCCTCTTTCGAAATCGAAAGTATACTGTTAACAGTATACAATATACAGTATACTGTTATACTGTATACTGTTAACAGTATACAATATATTGTTAACTGTATGCAGTATAATACTATTATTTTGATTTTAATACTATTAATTTTAATATTATTAATTTTTAGCATCTCACTTCGCTCGGGCATTTACTGTTTGCAGTTTCCTTCTAGTCTTCGTCCTAGGCGACTCATTCATAACAAGGAAGCTTAGCTATTTGTGCAAGTTATTTTCACATAATAGTCTCTTAGGTGGTCTGATTTTGACTTTGGAACTGATGTTGTGGAACTTTGAGAGGATGCTCTGAACCAAATTTGCTGGCGAAAGACATCTGGCTGAATATAGATGTCTGACTATGAGATATGAGTTTGGTGATCGACTATGCCAGTGATTTGAGATGCCAGTCTCTTATATGTGGATGGTAAGAGAATGAAAAGATTTGCAAACTTTAGATGGATAGGTTCTTGGCTTTCAAGCATGTTGATATGCTGTTGGACTGTTGCTAGTGTAACTTGGACTGATAATATGTGAGATGACTGTTGGGTTAGGATTGCTCACCGAACCAGTTAGGACAGATGGGTACTGCTTGTTCCTAATGCAGCCTTAATGAGGATAAAACTAAAATGGCATGGGATTTTATGGAATCAGATATTATTTGCATTATACAAAAATAAAAATTAGTGTAATATAGCTAATGGAGGAGTTTGTGTCACATTACTAGAATGTATCTAGATGTTAGATTCTGAAGAGCATAACTATAGTTTGAAGATTCCAATTACTAAGATCAAGATTAAAAGGGCCACCCGCAACACAACACGAAGTGAAGACAGAGATGATGACAATGAACTAGGCGCTTCTTGATAAATTCTAGAAGGCACCTCAGTTGGATATGTGAGTTGACTCTGGGTAAAAAGGGATTGGCACCATGAAGCGAACGTATGGCTTCAGAATCCATCTCGAACATTTTTATTTGAGAATCTCTTGCATAAACATGGTGCAATTATCTTCAAAACACAGGTCCAAGCTGTTTGTTTAAGTAGCTAAAGAACATGTTATTTGCGACTTGCAACTCTTCTACATTCTTAGGCCTTTCCCTTGATATCCTGGTGTGGGTCAGAGAGAAGAATAACATGTAATGTTAATGTTGCTTTGTCTAAATATGCAGATGTATATATATTTGTATGCAAGGTTTTATAAGTCTTTTGGAGGTTCATCCTGCATGCGATAAAACATATTGCTTCTGTTTCGTCTATATAAGATTGTAGAATGTTTTGTGATTATTATGTCCCTGTTCTTTGAATAATGAACAATGATGCCTCCCTAAAGACCTGTTTCTGTAGTTATTCCGCTAAGCACAACGGTTTACACAGCACTTTCATTATCCGCATCTGAGGTTTGATGTTGCATGTAATGGTTGGACAAAACTCCATTATCTTTATCGCTCACTTACTGCCACTTTGTTCCTCCAATTGAAGAGAGAATAGAGAAGAGTTCAGGGCAGAAGACATGGGAGCTGATTACTCCATTGCCATTAAATGAGGATGGTAGTTCTGTTGCTGCAGTTCTTAGATCAAACCCCGAAGTCCACTACATTTATGTCTGTATCAAGGTTAGCAGCTTCTCAAATTTATATTAAGGATTCCTTACCAAACTCTATCAACTGGTTATCTAATTTGAGAACTCTGGGTGCAATTGTGCATTCTCTTCAGGACGAATCTCGAAGGTGGCAACAAAGCACAGAGACTAATGACATCAGGAATGAACAGTAACTCCAGATCTTCCTCGATGTATTATCCTATGATTATTAATCTATATGAACTGTGATACTGAAATGGGGAAAGAATAAACGTTGTATTCTATTGTATTCATTTGTGGGAAGTCGATCAAACTGTCTCGATCCCACATGGACTTGAGCTTGTTATTCCACACTGATCTTTGTGCAGTTTTGTTGTTCTCTTGTTGTTTCGTGTAGGATGGGGCCATCCTATTTGCGATTCCATGATCAAATTCTACATCTTTATCTCATGGTCTTGTACAAAAATGGTTGACAATCTATTGGATGCCGAATCAATTAATTAGTTTATATTTAAATAAATTTAATTAGCTTATGGATATTTCAGTATGTAATAAGTTTCATATTTGAATATCTATTCAACGAGAAAAAATTAAATAAATATAGAAAATATAAAAGAAATCATAATTATAAATTATAAATCTTGATTAAAGATTCATTTTTATGAAAATAAAAAAATTATAAAATCATATATATATATATATATATATATATATATATATATATATATATATATATATTATACTTGAGCTTATAAAAGGAGTTAAAACCAAGGTATGCAATATCTATATCGGTGTTTCGAGATTGGCTTGATACGGTACGGTACCATGTACCGTTCGGTACATCAGGACGTACTGAATGATTTTAAATATTTTTTTCTTTTACTATAGCAATGCTATAGTATCGTACTATAGCACGTTCTGTCCGGTAGCGAGTAGTCTGCGTATCGATATGTTGTCGGACCAATACATACTGCTCGTATCGGGCGGTACTATTCGAAATTGCATACAACATTGTAATACATCATTATCAAAACTGATTGATAAAACTGATTGCTATGTTTGATATGTCCTACCAATAATAATGCGAATAATAATAATAATAAGATGTCAACCATTGGGTTCATATTAGATTTTGTCTGAACTACTCACATACTCTCGTTCTCTCAACCCTAAATCTCTTCCTATTTCAGTCTTTCCTGGATTTGTCTTATCTCTCTCCTTTCTTCTTGTATATTTAATGCATTACATTTCCTGATTTATAGGATTCATACTACAATTCCTAAGACTCTTAAAACAAATTCAACTAAAACTCGAACCAAATTCCAAAAGTTCAGAGACAGCTGACACGAAATCTGAGTTTCCCATCTCAGTCAATAAGCCGGTGGTGCTTTCACATTTTGATCATAAACATGTTACAACCATGTTTCTGAACATTCTGTGCAAGTTACAACTCTTTGGTCTTCTGCTGTATTCACAAAACAATAGTTTCTTTATCTATAAACACTTCAACCTAATTTGGTCATCAACAATGCAGCTTCATTTGTTTTATCCTTCACATAAAAAAGCTATTGATCTTTAGGATCTTTGCCACAGCAAAATGAATGCAAGCACTCTGAAGAGCATGCAACTCCATCTCACCAATAGTCTCTGCAAGAACACTCTCCTCCCATGAAATGGTGGAAACGGTTCCGGTCCCTCACAATGATTTCCCTGTCAAAAACTTTGGAGACGAGCTTACTCGCTGCATGGCAATCCCTACAAACTCTCAAGTTCTTTGTGATGCGTATCGTGTCACCTGATCTAGTGTTCAGTAGCCCGAAAGCTATGGCAAGCTTCTCGCTGTGGTAGTAAAGAGGATTCTCTTTCTCCTCCTCATCGATATCATGCAGCACTCCACTAGTGTCTGGAGCATATCCCTCTGCCTTTATCCTCTCCAACATCTCATCCACCATGACATATATTTCTCTGGCCTGGGGATGAGACTTGCCGCCGGCAATGAACTCACTGACCACACCACCCATTTCAATCATCGAACATCCCGGCTCCTTGTTGACCCCCCTGTCATTCATCAACCTCCTCACTTCGGCCGCATCATCCCACCTTCCCGCACTAGCAAATAGGTTAGCCAGCAATACATATCGACCACTGTTAAGAGGATCCAATTCGATAACCCTTCGACCAATTTGCTCACCAAGATCGACGTTGCCATGAATCTTGCACGCCCCAAGAAGAGCACCCAGAACACCAGCATCGGCATCCATAGGCATCTCTTGTATGACCTGCTTTGCTTCATCCAAAAGCCCTGCTCTTCCCAGCAAATCAACCATGCACCCGAAATGCTCCATCTTTGGCTCAATTCTAAACTCACGAACCATGTAGTAGAAGTAATGTCGACCCTCAGAGATCAATCCTGCATGCGCACAAGCACTGAGGACATTCAAGAGGGTGATGTCGTCGGGTATCACCTCTTCCTTCATCATTTCATCGAACAGTTTAACAGCTTCCTTACCAAGGCCATGCATTGCGAGCCCTCCAATCATGCAATTCCAAGATGAGAGCCCTCTGCAGGACAATCCACGAAAGACCTTGAATGCCTTGTCCAAGCAACCGCACTTGCAATACATGTCGATGATTGTGGTGCCAAGCTTAGGATCCAACTCGATCCCCATCCTCTCAATGTGCCCATGAATCCACTCCCCCTGCTCCAATGCTCCCATTCCCGAGCAGGCAGCCAGCATGCTGGCCGCGACAAACTTATTGAGCTCGATTCCTTCTGTCCGCATGCGAGAAAATAGCTCAAACGCATTCTTGAACCTCCCACACTGCACATACCCAGCAATCATCGCGTTCCACGAAACAGAATTCCTCTCGGGCATTCGATCAAACAGCTCGCGTGCCTCATCGACTGAGCCAAGTTTGGATAGTCCGCTGATCATCGTCGTCCAAGAGACGACATCCGTGCGAGCCATGGTGTCGAACACACGCCGAGCATCGACGGTGAGGCCGCAGCTGAGGTAGAAGCGGATGAGGTTGTTCTGGGAGAAGACGTCAGGGTGGAAGCCGAGCTTGAGAACGTGGGCGTGGACCTGGCGGCCGGCGTCGATGTCGCGGCCGGCAGAGATGGGCTTCAGGATGGACGGGAAGGTGAAGCTGTTGGGGGCGACGTAGCGGAGGAGCATGTCGGAGTAGAGGAGGAGGGATTCTGCGGGGGAGGGTAGGGCGCCGAGTAGGGTGTTGAAGACGAAGGGGTCGGGGCGCGGGAGGAGACCGAGAAGGTGGAGCGCGTAAGGGAGGTCGCCGGAGGGGTGGAGGGCGAGGAACTTGATGAGGCGTCCGACGGCGTCGTTGTCCTCGGAAAGTCCGAGGCGGATGAGCTGGGAGTGGTACAGCCGCAGCTCCGGCATGGACCTACAAGAGTCGAGGCCCCGGAGGGTGGCGCGCCGGTGCTCAGCGGTGGTGGAAGGTCTGCGCACCGTAGCCGGGGACACGAACACCACGGCGGGGGCGGCCATTGGGAGGACAAAAGTTCGTTTCAACCCGCCTCACAGGGGATCTTATCAAGGTGGTGGCTTCATCGGCCGCCACGTGTCATCTGATACACCACCAATCTTACAGCACATTCTCCACCTGAATGAATGGTAACCCTGCAAACATCAAAATGAGCATGAAACACGTCATCTGATACGCCACCAATCTTACAGCACATTCTCTACCTTAATATTAGACTATCAAAATGAGTCATCTGATGTAGACCTTAATGTTAGACTACATAAGAAATGTAAGATGATGTTGATATGTAAAAAAAATTAGACTTTTTTTTTTCTTCTTTTTATCTTGAGAAAAGATATATATATAATCTTAAAGTCTAAGATAATTAATTAAAAGAGTCTTTCTCATTAAATTTATGTCTTAAGATATTTTATGATAATTAATTTTTTTTATAATTTAATCATATCTATAATATATTTTATATAATTAGATAAGATCATATAATCTAACCCAAAAAAAACATATGCATATATCAAAAAGGAGACTCTGTAGAATCAATTGAATCCAACTTGTATGTCTCTAGTTTTAGGTGCTTGTTAATAAATACCTCTGCTTTCTTACCTCTTAATTCTTTGCTGAAGCATTTCAATCAACCTTAATTCAAAGGGAAGAAAGGATAGAAATAAAAAGGAATTAAAGGGTCTGCCCACTGTGCCGGAAGTTGCTGCCGGCAGCACAAGGTTGTCTGCTCACCATTCCTACGGTTCTGCTCCACCATGCAAGGTTTTCAAACATTAAATTAAAGAGCCTAATAACCTATTGAGTCTGAATTCCCATACAGGAGGACCTCATGAACATAAAAAATATAAATTACCAAGTGTTGCAATTTGTATATTGGTTAAACTAGTTCACAATAATCTTCTGTACCACTCAAATGAAAATTATAATTTCAGCAAGTCAACACTGTTCTATTCAATGCTCAGCCTTCACAAAGTTAATATCTATGACATTAACTTTCAGACAATCTGTTCTATATTTATGCATGTATGGAAACCATCTAGTTGTAATAACATAATGTCTCTGGATACAGTTTGCCAAAGAGCAAATGAAAGCACCCAATTCTTCATTGAAGTCAATATTGTTTTTAATAATTTTATTTTCTCATATAT